TTAACCCTGAGTTGCTCCCGATGGCATGGCCAACGGTGTGTGAATGTGTGTGAATGTTAGGTCCTAGAGTAAGGTACACTGCTCTGTTTGAATGGGTGTGAATGGGTGAATGACATGTAGTATGTAAAGCGCTTTGAGGGGTCTTAAAGACTGGATAAAGCGCTATATAAGTACAGTCCATTTACCATTTATTTACTTGTTTAAAGTGAAATGTGATTTAGGTTGTCTTTTAAAATCTGTCCAGGGACTACAGATGAAAAATAGCCTCTTGGCTAACTCTGGCACATTTACAGAAATGTTCATTAATGTGCACTGTCCCTGTTAAATAAATGAATACATACATAAATAAGAAATGGAGAGAGACATTCATGATACCTGCGAATGGTGGTGCAAGTCCTGAGGCGATGCTCTTGGTGTCCATGCCCACTGGCTTCTTCTCAATGAAGCTTTTGTACATGGTGCAAGCTGAGTTTAAACACAAACACATGTCACTGAGCTGCTAGGATACATGGGGGTAAGCTAATATTGCAGCTTTTTTCCTTCTTTGTGTTTGTTTTACCTCCTTCTGGTTCCACACCATAGATTCTGGTCTTATCACATCCTGACAGTTTGATAGCGGCGGCCACACCGGCCAGCAGTCCCCCCCCACCGCAGCACACCACCACCACATCAGGCTGGGGCATCACCTCCAGCACCTCCATACCTAGACTGGACACACAGGTTTAGAATAGCTGGAAGTTTAAATGACCAAAAGATCCACTGATGGCCTTAGAGTGTACCTAGCATGTCCTGCTATTAGATCCAAGTCATCAAAGGAGTGCAGGAAGGTCATGTTGTCCTCCTGAACACAGCGGGTCACCACATCCATCATACAGGAAGTGGGAACTCTCTCTACCTCCACCCCAAAGCTCTGAGGAAGAGAAGAATAACACTTTTATATAACTGCGGAGGAACAATTTTCAACAATTGCAGGTTTGTATTCTGCGTTTTTCATTCAGGCAGGAGCTGCGGTAGAATGTTACAAGTACATTTATTCATGCATTTACAGTTTGTGCCACTTTATACATAAAGTCCACAACGATTCAAATAACAGCTTTCGTTACTAGATAATATTATACATTTATAATACAAGATATTATAAAATAATATTTTTTTGTTGGGGAAAACTAACCACAGTTTATACAAAACCACATTTTTGGAAGAATTGGGAAAATGAACAGGCATTTATAAGCATTTAACTTATTTCTTTTGAACAATTTTAAGTTTTTCGGGTAAGATCTTTATTTATTTTAGAGTTTTCTGCTTACATTGAATGTTTACCTACATTGTTTATACTTGCTTGCTTTTACTTAAGTAATATTTAAAATGCAGGAATGTTACTTAAAAGAGTATTTTTACAGCGTGGGATTATACGTTTACTTAAACATCTACCACTGGTCAAAAGATCCCTTCTAACCTGTATGAGGATGGATCTGGACGCAGGGGCTGTTTCAGGCATCACCACCTTGCCCTTTGACCCGTAGTGTTTTGAGGCGTACGAAAAAGACTTCCCATAGTTCCCAGCAGACATGGTGACAAAATGACCACCCTTCTCTCTCCTGGCAAACTGATTGGCCACTCCACGGATCTTGAACGAGCCTGGCAATAAAAATGCACAATTCTTAAGAAATAAGACGAGAATTAGCTTGTACGAGACAAATCAAAGTGGGTTTTTTCCCACCGGTTCTCTGCATGTTCTCCAGTTTGATGTGGATGTTGCAGTGGATGTCCAGAGGCAGGGTTGTCTGGCCCCAGGGGATCATTGGAGTGTTGATGACACCCAGTGGGCTGCCTCTCACCGTCTCCATGGCTTCTCTCAGCAATTCCAGGGTGACAGCGTCTGCAGACATCTGTCAGAAACACACAATTCAATATCAGGAACACATTCGTCTTGAGGAGCCACATAAATAAATGCAAATCATAATAACACTAATAATAATAAGTAGTTTTAATTTTCTTTATTTTTAAACAATATTTCACACCTGGCCTCATAATTCTCACTCATTCCTATGAAGTGTGTTATTATTAGATAACCTAGATCTTTCTAGGTCTTACTGCTCAATGCTACGTTACTTACGACGTAGCCTACAGAGCAAGAGTGAAGCATGCACGTTGAATTACAAAACCTACTTTTTTTTGGCAAAAGAGTCGTTAAGTAAAATAAAACGACATATATTTCGTGCATTAAACTTTCTCCACACTGACCTTATTATGTGTTTCAATTTTTCTTTTACTTTAAAAAGTGACAACTCCGCAATGTTGGCAGTGTTACGTTTCTTGCAGCTCCCAGTGGAACAATAGTTCCCGTTTGAAGCGTGTTTCAAGTCGGACGTTATTATTAAAAGGACCGCAAAGATGGCTGCCCCTGCAAGTGGCAATGGAGACTTTTCTTAGTGACATAATAAATTAGTATTAACTGAAGGCACTGTAGTTAGAAAATATGGGTTTTATTCGACACGTCGTGTGCGCGATGTCCGGAGGAGTGGACAGCTCTGTCGCCGCGTTGTTACTGAAGAGAAGAGGTGAGAGAACAGAGAAACACACCTGAACTGACCTGTTTATCAGAATCTGTTTTATTACCAAGCAGAGGCGGGAGAAGTACTCATATCTTGTGTTTGAGTAAAAGTAGTACAAGAGTGTAGGAATACTCTGTTACAAGTACAAGCCCTGTATTAGTAAAAGTACAAAAGTATTAGCTTCAAAATATAATGGAAGTACCAGAAGTACAAGTACTCATTCTGCAGATTGGTCCATTTCAGAATAATATATATTATATGTTTTGATTATAATTGTTGATGCATTAAAGTTTTATCAAAGCTGGTAAGGTGCAGCTAGTTTGAATGACTTTGTATACTGCAGGGTAGCTTGTGAATTAATCCAGGTGTAACTAAAGACTGATTTAGGTGTTCAAATTCAAATCTGTAAAGTAATTACAGGTATTAAATTAAAATAGTGGAGATTTACCTCTAAATTGTAGTGGAGTAGAAGTACAAAGTAGCATAACATGGAAATACTCCAGTCAAGTATCTTCAAATTGTACTTAAGTACAGTACTTGAATCAGTACTTAGTTCCTTCCCATCTCTATTGCCAGGTTACAATATTAAAGACAACAAGATATTGCAATTAATGTTTATTAATGGTTGGCTCACTTTACCTAAATGAATAAAAAGTGAGAAACTCAGCTATTGTTCTTATTTGTCGTGTGTAGGTTACAGTGTCACAGGGGTTTTTATGAAGAACTGGGACTCCCTGGATGAGAGTGGCGTGTGCAACACAGAGACAGACTGTGAGGACGCCTACAAGGTCTGTCAGAGCCTGGACATCCCCTTCCATCAAGTGTCTTACATCAAAGAGTACTGGCATGAAGTGTTCAGGTATTTGTGGCTGCCATGTATGAATCCTAAATACTCTCAAAATGTAAAACTCTGTGAATCTCACGTCTGTTTTTCCCCACTTTCAGTAAACTGTTAAAAGACTATGAGAAGGGGAGGACGCCAAACCCAGACATACTATGCAACAAGCACATCAAATTCAACCATTTCCACAAGTATGCCATCGACACGCTGGGTATGTCATCATAATAGGGCTATGAAATGATTCTTTTCATTATTAATTCAGTTGCAATTTATATTTCCAATTATAAACGATACCTGCTTAATTTATGCAAAGTTACAAAATAAAAATGTCTTGGGTTAGAGAGGGTTAGAAAGTTAAACCAAAATTAAAATACCATACATGTTTACCCTATAATAATTATACATGACAAAGAAAAATAAAGAACTCTCTTTGAAGAATGTTAAGTGTTTTACTATTCTATTTACAAAATGACCACAAAGGTTAATTGAATATCAAAAATAGTTATTTTTGTTCTCTCAATCGACTAATTGGTTAATCAATCATTTCAAATGTGATCGTTTCAAGTCATAATGTGGTCATACACAGACCTATACTGTTTCTAGGCGGCATTACAACTGTTTCACTTTTATTTTTTGGACTGGAAAGCAGGGGTTGGTAGTTAAGGAATAAATAAATAAACTAATTTGAATGTCAAACACAATAAAACATTGTGTCTAATTTCTTGCTGTTGTTAATAAAGGTGCTGATGCCATGGCAACAGGGCACTACGCCCGGACGTCACAGGAAGACGACGAGGTGTTCGAACAGAAGACCACAGCGCCACAGACAAATCTCTTCAGAGATCGTTTTGAGATCAGAAATCGTAAGAGTTTGAATCTTGTGCCCCAGTTTAATGGGTTACCTCTTTTAAACCTAAATTACTTTCTTTGTTTTTACAGTCAAATTGAACCACAACATTAGCTTTAAAGTCAAACCCTCTTACAGTCTTTTTTCTTCTTTTTCTCTCCCTAGCGGTGAGGATGTATCAAGCAGCCGATCTCTTCAAAGACCAAACCTTCTTCCTCAGTCAGATCTCCCAGGATGCCTTGCGACAAACCATGTTCCCGCTGGCCGGACTCACCAAAGACTTTGTCAAAAAGATTGCTGCGGAGGCAGGGTTTCACCATGTGCTGAAGAAGAAGGAGGTAAACGCACACATGAATACAAAGGCAGAAATGTAACTCATGTTTATATAACATCAGGAGGGCATACATAGGAATATGTATTCACATTGTAAGGTAATGTGCTTCCAGAGCATGGGCATCTGCTTCATTGGAGAGAGAAACTTTGAAAGCTTTATTTTGGAGGTAAGAAATAAATCTTCAATTATTCGTTCTGCGTTTTAAAATTTGAACAATGCCTCCTGCTTTGTAAACCTTTACCTGTTTCCTATACACGTTTCTTTCTGTTTCTAGTATCTGGAACCTAAACCAGGGAATTTAGTCTCCCTTGAGGACGGGGCTGTTATTGGAACACACAAAGGTATGTGTTGCACTGTTGGTGGAGCCTGTGACCTAAGATTTTCATCGTCATAACTACACTGTAGCTATGTACGTATGACAAATAGAAGCCTTGAGCCTTGTGGCCGTTTTAAGTGTGTAATAAGTGTGTGTCACTATTATATTATCACACAGGCAGTATGTAATGACTATCAGTATGTTGAGCAAATTAAAACTATTAAAATCCACTTTTTTGCTTTCCTGGTCCTTAAATATCCACTAAATGTGGATATGTTCCAAACTACTGACTTAAAATACCTCTGTGTATTTCCTGTTTCTTCTCTTGTCATTTCCTGTGTCTCTCTCCATCCAGGCTGGTTCACTATGACGCTGGGCCAGAGGGCCAAAATTGGAGGGCAGAGAGAACCTTTTTTTGTGGTTGACAAAGACATCACTACTGGGGATGTGTTTGTGGTAAGAAAATCTGACTATGAAGATATGTTAAAGATTTTTCAAATCCACTGTAAGTTTTGTTGTCTGTGTCTTATGCTAAAGCATTGCTTAATGCTGCATTCATGAACTATAAGAAAAGGTCAGCACAAGAATCACCACATTAAAGTGCTTTGTGTTGTTTCTACACTGGTAAAAAAATGCTGGAGAACATTTAGGATTTACATTGTAAATGCATTAACATTACATATTTCGCTCACTTTTATAAGGGGCAACACTGATTAAAACTTGACGCATTTTTGCTCATACTTCACGCCCAAAATGTCTCACAAATCAGGCTCCTACTACCAACCACCCGGCTCTCTTCCGTGACATGATGCGGACGGACCGCTTCCACTGGGTAACGGTCGAACCGCCTGCTGAACTAGTCAAGACCCAGATGATGGAGTGTCGTTTCCGCTTCATCCACCAGATGCCACTCAGTGAGTTTTGTGCTGTTAGTGTCTGTCCTTTGGTGAATTAGAAGTTATTTACTGAACAAAAAAACACAAATTTTTATGTTTTCCAGTTCCCTGTACAGTGACACTGAACATGAACGGCTCTGTGTGGATCTCTCTCTCCAGACCAGTCCGAGCTCTGACACCTGGACAGGTAACCGCCAACACACCTGTGTGACAGAATAGAGTGTAGCTGCAATATAAAAATATATTAGATATTTATTTCAAGTTGTTTATATATTTCAGTGAATCTGTCCATGACCACTTGTGTATATTATAAAAACGTTTTATAAAATATTATAAAAACGTTTTATAATATACATTTGATCCTCCCGCAGTTTGCCGTGCTCTACAAAGGAGACGAGTGTCTGGGCAGTGGGAAGATCATCCAGCTGGGGCCAAGTGAGTTCACCCTGAAGCAGGGCAGAGAGCGCCTGTTAGCGGCCGCTCAGCAGCAGCAGGAGCAGCAGACCCCTGAACCGGCCAGCTGAGAGGACCCCCCCGCCAAGCTGTGGTGGAAAAGAGCTCTGTCCGGTACATTAGGTAGAGCACACTGTTGAAGAAGAAAAACTGTCTCTTAGAAACAGCTTTGTGACAAAGTGTCTGCTCCGGACTCACTTTTAAAAAACAGTAAACAGGTTTTTAATTGCACACATTTGAAATATCAACATTTTTGATACGACAAAAATGTTCATTTCTGTAATACGTTTAGTGTTGGAGACTAAAAGGTTATCTACTAGCTGCTAAGAAGAACCATCTGTATTCAAGCCAAGGTGTATTTAGCAGGGGAGAATGGGGGGCTGCATTTGAACTAATATAAGTGTTCTTTTTACTGTAGTACTTTCTGGAGCAGCCCCAAGAGTACGTACTGTTGCATGCAGTATGTATTCGGGACATACTACCTCATCCTGACATTGCAACTTGAACTTTAACCCCCTCTCGTTCATATATCCGTCAAGTCCGTAGCATGATGAGCGGTCCTCAGGATGTCTGTGCTCTCTTGGTGCCTCAGTCGATGTGACCTATCTTCTGCTTTGCAGAGGATTGTGGGTCAGAATAGCAAGGAAATCATGCTGCCTCGCGTGCAGCAAAATGCAACCTGATGCAGTACGATATTCTTTTTGCATACCCTTTAGACTTCCTATGAATTGGCACAAAAAAAAAATATTTTCAGGCATGCGTACAGGGTATGCAACACACCCTATATATAATAAGGAACCAAAATACAAAAAATAAGATGGTTCACAGACCTGTAGTAGCATTTCTTTTAAATTTCAATCCACTTTCTCTACATCCAACATGCAAATAGATCTATACTGACACCACAGAAATCACTGTCAGATATACAGTACTACATTTCTTTCTGCTTGTCGCTCACTTTTTGGTTGTGTTCAGCCCTAAAATATTTGTACTCGTGGTCTGGAAGTCTTTTCTCAAAGGTGTTTTAGGTCTGAGCCCTTAAAATATAGGAAACCTGAGGGGGAATCAGGGAAATGGATTTGAACTTTAAGCTAGCAGAGGGTTAATAGTTGTAACTGATGGTTGACCCAATTTCGGGGCCTGTTACCTGTGAATGAAAGTGACACTTATTTGTTCTTGTTTGTTCTCTGTAATGTTATTTCGACCTTATTTTTCTGTATGTTTGTTCTATCATTTCTGAGACTTTCCCTCCTGTCCTTTACCTTTTGTATGACTGTCAGTAATGTTCACCATACTTCTGTGCCAACCTACATATGTTAAGATAGGAATCACCTTGACATTTTTTATCCTTGTCAAAAAGGAAGATGCTTTTGACTCATATGATGATAAATTACGTGAATAATGTGGACTAAAGTAGAAACAAGGTACCGAGTAGTCACTCTGCACCAGAAATGATGTCCAAAGTTGCAGGTAAACAGGAGAAAGTAAACACTAAAAACATGCAAGATAATGAACAATTAGAACCGAATATGATGAATAAACCAAGTATGTTTAATATATATATATATATTTTTTAAGCTTTTCAGTTTCGATTGTTGTAAATATTTGAAAGACAATTACATCATTCATCTCAGCTGTTGATTCATTGCTTTTAACTGTCATTTATATATTGGTTTTAAATGTAGGATTTTAAAACAAAAAAAATGGAAATAAAATATGGAATACAAATAATTGAAGTGCCTTATCTCATCGAATGGCAATGCAATATGAGTCCTTCATTTAGTACCAACTGTAAATACATAAAAATGTACCAATGAGTGAATAAACCTTATTAGTGGTGTGATGACTTTTTTCCCTGTCCCATATACCGAAAGATTCCCTGCAGACTTGTTAATAAATATGAGATAAGAAATACATTATTTGATGGGTTGTCCTACAGTTATTGGTCCACAAGGGGGCGCTGTTATACAAGATTACCCTACAGGTGTGAACCTGTTGTTCTCAAGTCAGCATTGTGCTGTCACCTTACTGTATGTTCTTATAAATCCTGATGAATGTCACAGTAGATATTTTTTAAACACATTTTATTTCCTTTTGTATGATTTCCTAGAAGATATTGTTCTTGTGTCAAATTTTGAAAAGTGTTTTCATCTAAACATTTGTTTTCTTTGTGGGGAAAAACAAAGGTGATAAGTAATAAGGGATAATAAAGGCTCATTCCACACCATAACGGTAAGAAACATCGGTTTTTAGCATCATTCAATCCATTAAAGTCAAAATAAAAATTCCAAACACAAAATGATACAAAGAAAAAAATATAAATGTACTTTATTTGAAATATTTCACTTTCAGCCTTTTTAAGTCTAGAGGAAGCAATATCTTTTATTTCTAAGAGAAACAGATTTTGCTTTAATAATTACTGTTTTACAATGTAAACATGAAGAACAGTTATTTATGGATTATCAGAAACAATAATCAACCGATAATTTGGTTTATTAAGCTACATCTTTGTGGTTGGCTGAAAACAGTTATTTCAATTATGATATAAGTCAAACCATTCCCACCTTTTTGAATTGCATTTACCGAGAAGTTGCAGTTTATTGTGTTACATTTTTCTAATATTGTGACCTTGAAGTCTTAGTTAAACCACTTTTCATGTCTTTCATATGTACCTTCAGTGCTTACAACTACTTCAACACACAACAGTTTAAGAGGCAGAGACACTCAAACACGCATTAGGAATTTTACCCAACTATCACCCTATTACAATAACAATGCACGGTCAGGGCCACTTCCTAAATCTCCATGAGAAAAAAGAAGCCCCCCTGTGAAAGCGTCCCAGAGGGGGGACACAGCAGGTTTATGGTAATAAGTCTCCGAGGAGGAGAGGAGGAGGAGGCGGAGGAGAGCCACGGAGCCATTTTGTACTCATTTTAAACTCAGTGTGGGTTAACGCAGCTGCTGCGCGCCGTGGATACACCGATACTATGGATACCGAGCGTCTTTTTCTACGTTAAAACTTCACAATGAGGGATAAAAGTAAAGCGCGCTGTTGGGAGAGGGAAAGTTAACGCGTTAGCGGAGGAGTTTCGATGAAGTTGAATGGGATTTGACAGGTTCACAAGCATGGAGTTACCGATGTTTTGGATTTGGGTTTGTGTCCTGTTCAACGTGCAGCTTTCGGGATGTTTGGAGATACACCTTTCGGATACTTTACAGCCTGGGACCCTGTTAGCAAACCTGTCGCTTGGACCTGGGTGGACGTCAAAACTTGACAGAACTTTATCACCAAAATTCATCCAGAGCTTTTTCCAAGTTGGGAGACACGATGGAGTCATCCGTCTGTCCCACAAAGTTGAGTGTGCGCACACACCGAGGAACCCAGCGCCTGTTTATTTCAGAACAGGTTCCTTGACATCTGGGGACGTTATTCTGACACAGTTTAATGTGTTCGTCCACGGCCAGGACTGTTTTATTAAATACAAGAGAAAGAAAGCGTCAGGTAAGCCAGACATTCACATTAAACACCTTTCAAAACTGGAGGCAACTTCCTGCTTGTCCGCAGGTAAATTGCTATTGAATGTAACAGAACTTTTGCCTGCTTTTACGCGCAACACCGCCTTTTTGGACACATTGTGTGTTGGCAAAGACTTGAGTGCAGTGTTCAGACGAGGGGATTTGTTCCTGGCCAGTGACTTATGTATTGAACACAGAGGACAGCCGGAGTTGAGTTTGCACTGCGCACTGCAGAGCTCTCCAGGCGGCAGGCTCTCTGTGCAGCTGAGTTTGACGCTTGTAAAAGTGCCCAAGCAACATGGATCCCTCTCAGAAACCGTCCAGAGAAAGTCCGGCACGTTGATCCGCAGGGGTAAGCGACAGGCTAACGCGCCTCCCAAGTTCCAGCTCCCCAACTATCAGGTGTCATTGCCCGAGAATGAGCCTGCGGGCACGCGGGTGATCACCCTGAAAGCCACTGACCCGGATGATGGAGAGGCAGGCAGGCTGGAGTACAGCATGGAAGCCTTGTTTGACAGCAGGTCCAATGACTTTTTAGAAATTGACTCTCAGACAGGGAGCATAACAACTGTACAGTCACTAGACAGAGAAGTGAAAGACACCCATGTTTTCAAAGTCATTGTAACTGATTATGGCTCTCCCCAAAGATCTGCCACTTCTTACCTCACTGTCACTGTGAGTGACACTAATGACCACAGCCCAATTTTTGAGCAAACTGAATACCGTGTTAGCATCCGGGAGAATGTAGAAGTAGGGTTTGAAGTGATAACAATCCGCGCCACTGATGGGGATGCTCCATCCAACGCTAACATGATTTATAAAATTGTCAACGGTGATGGAGTTAATTCTGTATTTGAAATCGACCCCCGCAACGGCGTGGTGAAGATCAAAGAGCGGCCTGATAGGGAGACCCGGGCCCAGTACCAGCTGATTGTTGAGGCCAACGACCAGGGCAAAGAAAAAGGCCCCCGCAGTGCCACTGCTACTGTCAAAATCACTGTGGAGGATGAGAATGACAACTACCCACAGTTCACTGAAAAGAGATATGTTGTACAGATCCCAGAGAATGTGGCAGTCAACACCAACATCATCAAGGTTGAAGCTACAGACAAAGATGAAGGCAACAATGCCAAAGTTCAATACAGCATAATCAGTGGCAATGTTAGGGGACAGTTCTACATTCACTCCCCCACAGGTGTAATTGATATCATCAATCCTCTGGACTATGAGATTATTCGAGAGTATAATTTGCGGATTAAGGCACAGGATGGTGGCAGGCCTCCTTTGATAAATGGCACAGGGATGGTGGTGGTTCAAGTGGTGGACGTGAACGACAATGTCCCCATGTTCGTCAGCACACCTTTCCAGGCTACTGTGTTGGAAAATGTGGCCATTGGATACTCTGTGATCCACATCCAAGCAATTGATGGTGACGCTGGAGAAAATGCCCGTTTGGAATACCGGTTAACGGACACCACGCCTGGTTTTCCGTTCACAATCAACAACAGCACCGGCTGGATTACAGTGAGTGAAGAACTTGACAGGGAGACCACTGACTTTTACACCTTTGGCGTAGAGGCAAGAGATCATGGGTTACCTGTTATGTCTTCATCAGCCAGCGTCAGCATCACAGTGCTCGATGTGAATGACAACATACCCACATTTACAGAGAAGGTGTACTCATTAAAGATTAATGAAGATGCTGTTGTTGGGACCAGTGTACTAACAGTGACGGCTGTAGATAGGGATGTCAATAGTGTGGTTACCTATCAGATCTCCAGTGGCAACACCAGGAACCGCTTTGCCATCACAAGCCAGAGTGGTGGCGGTCTCATCACTTTAGCCCTCCCCTTGGACTACAAGCAGGAACGCCAGTATGTCCTGACAGTCACTGCCAGCGATGGGACACAGTACGACACCGCTCAAGTGTTCCTCAATGTGACGGACGCCAACACACACCGTCCCGTCTTCCAAAGTGCCAACTACCAGGTGATGCTCAGTGAAGAAAAACCTGTGGGCTCTACTGTGGTAGTGATCAGTGCGACGGATGAGGACACAGGAGAAAATGCTCGCATCACGTACGTGATGGAGGATAATGTTCCTCAGTTTAAAATTGACCCGGATACAGGGGCCATCACAACACAAATGGAGCTTGATTATGAAGACCAGGCCTCCTACACGTTAGCAATCATTGCCAGAGACAATGGCATCCCCCAGAAATCTGATACCACCTATGTGGAGATTATCATCGCCGATGCCAATGATAATACTCCTCAGTTTCTAAGGGACAGATATCAGGGGACTGTATTAGAAGATGCACCTGTCCGCACCAGCGTTCTCCAGATTTCTGCTTCAGATAGAGATTCTGGCCCAAATGGCAGATTGAGCTATACATTTCAGGATGGCGATGACGGAGATGGGGATTTCTTCATAGAATCTTCCTCTGGTATCATCAGAACTTCTCGCAAACTGGACCGAGAGAATGTTCCTGTTTACAATCTGAAGGCCTATGCTGTAGACAGGGGGGTTCCACAGCTAAAAGCAGCTGTTCCTATTCATGTGGTTGTCCAAGACATTAATGACAATGCTCCAGTGTTTGAAAAGGATGAGCTGTTTATTGACGTGGAGGAGAACAGCCCGGTGGGCTCCGTTGTGGCCCGGATCTCTGCCACCGACCCTGACGAGGGCACAAATGCTCAGATCATGTACCAGATTGTAGAAGGGAATAATCCAGAGGTTTTCCAGCTAGACATTTTTAACGGTGACCTCACCGCACTCATAGACCTGGATTATGAGACTAAAACGGAGTATGTCATCGTGGTCCAGGCCACCTCAGCACCACTAGTGAGTCGGGCCACTGTGCACATCCGCCTTAAAGACATGAATGACAATGAGCCAGTGCTGCATAACTTTGAGATTATTTTCAACAACTACATCACCAACAAATCTAACAGTTTTCCATCAGGAATAATAGGAAAGGTTCCAGCACATGACCCGGATGTATCGGATAAACTGCGGTATAAGTTTGAATCTGGGAACGAGCTCAATCTGCTGCTGCTGAACGCCGACACTGGGGATCTGAGGTTGAGCCGAGACCTGGACAATGACAGGACCCTGGAAGCCCCAATGACCATCTCCGTGTCAGGTAAAAACCAAGAAAAAGTCTTCTTCCTTTCATGCTGTTTTTTTCTGTGAGGAAGATCTCCCTTTTAATGGCAGTTACATGTATTGCATGGTGATAAAGTGTGTTAAAGACTGACCATGTGTGCAGAGTCAATATATCATCTTCAGTTGAAGAGGGGCAGGTTTCGGCAGTAGTGTTGACTGTATGTGTAGTGAGTGTGTGCTGCAGGCTCTACGCAGGATCCGGTTGTGCTGCTTTTGAACCATTAGGGTGATAAATGTATTGTGTGCAAGTGGTTGGTTTAGGTAATAAAAAGGTGTTTAAGTAGGGCACCCTGATAGCCAAGCTGCTTTGTTGTTGAAGATATGTGGGTTTCTGCCACAGGTTGGAACACACACAATCATATAGTGTAAGCATTTATGCACACACCTGATTTCCCTACCTTAAAGCACTGCTCTCTTTGAAGTGGCTTAAGGTTTTTTGGCCTGGGCTGCAGGCGCTGCAGGGAGCTTTATAAACATCTTGTGGCAAGATGTTTTCCAGCATTTCCTTTTTTTTGCTAGAAAAACTTTCCTTGCTTTGCATACTTTTTAAGTTTCTTACAATTACCTCTATTTTGAACGTAGGAGAACTATTTGATAGAGTTTTGTTTTGGGGGAGCTTTCTGTAACATGGGTTCATATGTCAAGGATTGTGTGTTCAAGTTCAGGAAGAAAGAATGTGCCCTAAGTTGCTTTTTTTCCACCATAGAGGCAGAAGACTTTGATCTTTGAAGTTAAAGATTAGACAAATGCAAACACTTGACATTCACACCTAAAATGGCAGGGTTACTGCTGCAGACAAACACACTCACTTTGCAAGAAACCTTCATTCAGGCAGTTGAAGACGCACGATAAATCTAACGCCTTAACTAGCCTGTCACCTATTGACAGCTATTGGATGATCTTCTTAAGCACATTAAGCCCTGAGATTGGCAAACAGCCCAACACAGCTAGATCTCTTCAGCTCACCCTCTATCCATGACACTCCATCATCTCTCAAGTTAAAGAAAAACCAGCATATCAAACACACTGAAGGAATACAAAATGAGCTGCTATGGACCAGAATGCACCAGGGCTAACCCACGTTACTTATCTTTCAATCTAATCATTTTGTAGTTTCTAGAAATAATTCTCAGACATTTTGGCCCGTACGTTTAGTATTATTTGGGTCAACTTGAATAACTTTCTTTGTTCATTTAACACAGGGGAATTTCCCTCTCTTTGGGGCAGTGACCAAGACATTGTTAGGATTATATAGTAGTTATTTAGCTGGACTTAAACCTGTAATGTTACACAACAAAGTCCATTGGGCAGTGAAGGTCTTTCCCCCCTGCCCTTTTTTCTCAGAATGGTGTTTTTCCTAAAGGACTTGTGCCTTTTCTTTGTCTTGAACAAAAGACAGACTGTCCTTTTCTAAGTGCTTTATGGCCCTATAGACGACCTGCAGAGTATCTGAGGTGTTAGCCACTGACCACAATAGCAACAGCCCTCATTCACTGCCACTGCATTCAATAACAGCTGACAGCTCTTGCCATATCCCTGACAACAGTGACCTCATGATGGTCCCTATGGGGGCTGGACTTCAACATTAGTTTTACCCATGTGCAAATCAAGATAAACACGTGTGCATGCACAATTGAACAGATGCACATACTCCATAAACCCCCACCCTTTTTTGTATTTGTTAGCTCACAGAGATGTCAAGTGTTGGATAGCCATTACCACAGATTGTCTTGACCTTTCAACCCTGGCCTCTTGGGAGAGGAAGGCCTGAGGGGATTGGTGAGCTAATAGCACCTTAACAAGACTCTGATTGTGTCTCTAGAATTCAACCTCTCCCCTGCTCCACAGGTTTTTTATATTGTCTTTTCTAGAAATTAGTTTTATTTTGTGTTTATTGTTTTGACCTTTTCTCTGTCATTGGCTGAATCCAATTGGAGTTTCCTGGAGCCGACGGTGGCCCTAGTGTCAGACTGGCTATATGATACGTCTATAAGTCTATAATACAGTCTTTAACATTGCCGTCCTTATCCATGAGTGATGAGATTGATCAGAGGACATTATCCCTTGTCTACTTATAACCTTAATTATCATTCCTGATCACTTAAACAAAGGACTTTTGATGTATCGCAGTGATTGTTGATTTTATCTTTGCTGTAGAGGACTTTTTTTTCCTCTTTGTGTGCCCCTTATCAAGACTCTTTGTTAAAGCAGTTCAAGAAGTGCACAGGTGCTTTTTTTGCGGTGAACAGGAGGCCTGAGAATGTTTCTCTAGCCCTCTGCTGAAACAGAAGAATGCCCTGATAACTCTCCCAAGATACACTCACTTTACACACTCTGCTAGCCACAACATTATCTGCCCTCGTTCCCCCCGTACTTGTGTAAGCGTGTATGTGTGCGTGTGCGTGTATGTGTGCGTGTGCGTGTGTGTGTGTGTGTGCGTGTGTGTGTGTGTGCTATGTGTTCCCATTGTGGGAGCTCTTATCTTAGCTTGTCAAATTTCACTTAAAACATTTGGGGTTTTCTAAAAGAGGACTGTCCGCCAATATATAACTGTCACAGAGGCAGTTGTACATTTTTCAGTGTACTGCACCTTTTATTTTGGCTTTCTGTACTGTAACTGGTCAACTTTACTACACCATTGAGCCCTATCTAGTCTGTGACAAGTCTGGGATTTCTCCCAAATCAAAGGAAGCCCGCAGTGTTACACAGGAAACCCCATTTTAACAATTTGTTCCACTAGTTACCACACAATTAAAGTCTCAAACCGGCTGGTTGATTGCCAGATCCGACAGACAGACCCGGCATCTGAAGCCAAGATTTACCAGCATTTGGCCAGCTTGTGTTGTGAATAAGCCATGGCTAACAGCTATGTAGATAATTAGTGATTTCATTTATTCGTTCATTAAGCCACTGCATATTTTGATTTGCTCAAACCAAACTCCTACAGTACTTCCTGACATGCAAAAGACAAAACCCTAATGCGAGTTTTTCCAGGAAACACACACGTGATAGGTGGGGTTTGTACAGCATAGGTTAAAGCTTGCACAAAGTGGCTACAGGTGGAGTGTGTTCTAACGTTCAGTGATGCAGAGTAGCAGATTGTAACTTAAAATGATTAGGAATGATTGATGCTAATTCGTCTTTTTCCACCCCGGCTCTGATCTTTTTCATTACCCTACCTGTGCAAGACGACATGCAGCTACACGCACACATACACACGCCAGCCTCCCCACTCTCCCCGGGTCCTCCCCCCCTCTTTTCCCCCATGGGGCTGTTGCTGGGCTTCCATGCCTTTGGTTTGGCTCCTAATCCCGTTTGAGTAGTTGCATAGCTCAGCCTTTTTAAATTTCTGTTCTCATCCGCCCACCCCGTCCAACACGTACTTTCCCTTCTTACTTTCACTCCTTCTTCCCCATAATATACATAATTAGATTTCTACTGTGACACAAGAGCTTGACCTTTGTGCTTATTTTTTTAAAACCAGGCTTAGATCAAAAACAATCCGCTACTGACCTTCCACTGAAACACATTCTAGTGAAAACAATAGTTTAATCATTTATGAAGAAAATTGTGTAATGTTCTGTTTATTATGAGCCACAGTTATTATTTTTACAAACATTATTTAATTAGTTTTCCCATTGTCACCAGGTGGTCACAAGTCTTAGCCCATCCAATCCCTTTAGGAATTTAAATAACTTAAGTTGTATAAGATGTTCGCAATAATAAATGAGGCATAGTTACTTTTGTTCAATACACTGTAGTATTTGAGATGGATTGCCCTCCATGAATTGTGTGGTTTTTCCATTCATTCTTATTTACCACATTATCATCTGATTCAGCAAACATATCGGCCTCCATCTCTTGTCCTTGGCACTGTTTTGGTTTCAAATCCTTATTTGCCCATGAAACATTGCATAACAGAGGCCACAAGAACGCATATTGAGAAAGACTCCTTGTGTGAGTCAAGGGACAAACATCTTCCTGTCAGACTTTCCCGGTTTCCCGTCTTTTCCCAGGTAACTATCTTGTGTTTGTTTTGTCGAAAAGAAACGTGACTCCTCACTTGAGCGCAGGTGTGGCAGTGATGCGCAGACGGTGACGACGCGTGACCTCTCACCTATGGGATCAAAGCGGAACATGACGTTTTTACACACACACTCAGTGTCCAATGACCCTGTCCTCTTCTACACATGACTTATGACCTCCCATCCTGATAGATGGGGTAGAAAGAGGGTGGAGTCACAGCAGTGGGGAGCACATTCGTAACTAAGAGATGGATATCAATATCAATCAGCTGATAAAGTCCATATAAATACAGAAAAAGCGTTTGTGTGGCTGTTTAAGTGGATGTATGTGTGGCTTCAGTTCAGCTCATATGTTTTCCTGTGTGTGAGACATGCTGCCATTCCCAGGCTTGGCACTCACAGTAACTGATATTGGGGGATCCCATTCATTCCTAAGATATCGCACACTCCTGGCTTCAAACTGCGCCCCTCACCACAGTCCTCCCTGCACCTCTTATCTCCCTTTTCTTTCCCCTCACCTATTTTCTTTCCTTAAGACTTATCCGTTTGTCTTTGTGTCCGTGTTTGCGCTTCTTAAAGAATGAGGTGCTTGACCATGTGCCTGGAGAATGTAGCCGTCCTGCCACGTGGTTTTTTCTCAGCTAAATCTGTCCTGAGTGGTTACAGAAACTTATTAGATTACTGTCCTTCTCGCTATCTCTCCGCATGCCTGTCTTCCCGTTTGTGCTCCTCTTGTTCCCAGTATGTTTTTTAGGGTGCACTTACGCTATACCCCTTTGTCCTGAGGCAGAAGAAGTAGCGCACATTTGCAGGTGCAACAGCATGTATCCATGTCTCTGTGTGTGTGTTCAATGAGCGAGAAAGGAATCACATTCATGCTTAATCTTGTACATCCCNTTGANACAGAACATTAAAAAAAAACAAATAAAACAAAACAAAAGAACATGCAACACTGACCCAATCTTCTGCTCCTTACAACCCACTGCCTGTGTTTTAACATGTTCTTTTGTTTTGTTTTATTTGTTTTTTTTTAATGTTCTGTNTCAATAGCTTACCATTACTGTAAATGACGGATATACCTTTCTGTCTGTGATGTTTTAAAAATCAGATATTAATGTGTAGAAGTAAAACATGAGAAATAGTATAGCAATATTCTGTAAAAGTATGTAAAAACTATTTCTCATGTTTTACTTCTACACATTAATATCTGATTTTTAAAACATCACAGACAGAAAGGTATATCCGTCATTTACAGTAATGGTAAGCTATTGAAATTGTGATTCCATAGATGTGTCTCCCATCACCCAAATCCCCTGACTATTCTCTCAACTCAGTATTTACATTCTTATATTCAAAGAAAATCAGTAATATCTTTAAAAACGTGCATTGCGGCTAAAGCATCCGATCAGCGAGCTGAGGATCTTTCCTACGTCTGTTTCCGGTATTGTTCCTGTAATGAGAGTTCACACATCTTCAGAAACATAATTTGCTTCAGATACAACTCATAGCAAATAAAGCATAAAAATATAAGTAATAAAAAGATAAAACACTGGCATGTAATTTACGTTAGAATAAATAGAATGGTTTTGAATAATAGATGAGTAAAATCTACGTCACTTTTTTTGTATGAATTTATGTTTCATCCAATCACAGAGCTTGTTGACTTATCACNCATTGCTGAGCAGCTTTAACAGAAAATGAAGATTGACTGAAATAACTTTTTCTGAGTGGAATAATGCAATCTCCTCTCGCTGCACCTCTTGTTACCCTAGTTGCAGTTGTGCGTATGTTAATAAACTGTCTAAGAGGAGGTTAGGTACTGTAAGGCCGTTGACAATCTTGTAGAAAAGGCAAGCATTTGCATGTTTAATGAGGTTAGGTTCTTCAAACTGTTGTATTTTTTAATCACTCCTTTTCTCTGAATCCCAGGCAAACTGCCCTTCGAGCTATGTCAGCGCTACGTGGAGGGGATTGTCCTTATAAACGATGAGGAGATCAAGGCGGCGGTCTCCACCCTGTACAGCTCCGGCCTCGTGGTGGAGGCGTCGGGCTGCGCTGCGTTCGCTGCCATCGTTAACAACAAGATACCCGGGCTGGAGGGGAAGAACGTGGTGTGCATCCTCAGCGGAGGGAACATCGGGAAAGACGAGCTCGCCAACTTCCCAGGATGACAAATGTACACAAGCATGATGTGACTTTTCTTAGTGAAACACACTGAGAACAAAACAACTATTCAGGGCTTCTGATTTGGAAATACTTAATAATATTAGGGCCATTTTGTCTGTAAATGTCATTATTGTAACTATATGATGCAGTGGGATTTTACTTGTCTGAAATCATGATGAAATATGTTATCTTTGTACCATAACCTTTATTTTTTACACATTTTCTATAAGCTTTTACAATTTGCATTGTGATGCCGCATTATTAAGGAGAATAACAAAAGTTCAATGTCATTTTGTTTTTTCCAGAGTGTGCAATCACTTTTAATAAACATCTCTTTCTCAATTAATTTATGGTATGCACATTTTGTTGTGTCTGCATAAAATCTGAGAATTGAAGTGAGTGAAAATGTAATATCCAGGAGCAAGTAAAATGACGCTGAAAATATACATTTCCTTATAAGTGTCCTAATATATATATTTTAAAAAGGTAATTCAAGATGATTTAGATTAGAAGAACAAACAAGGCGGAATCTAAGCACATGCTATCTGATATTTGTCCCCTTTTAGATGGAAAGAAAATGCTAAATGTAAATGTGAGCAGGAGAAAAGCAATGTCCATGAGAAAATATATGAAATATTTATTTTCAGATGGGAGAAATAAGATTTTTTTATAGTTAACTTCGACAAAACACAATATTTTGGGACTTTACAATGTGGAAGAGTAAATGAATTCAAAATAAAAAAAATGGTTGCCTTTCCGGTCCTTTTTCCTGTGGAAGCTACATGACGTCCTTGGCAGCCATCCTGCATACTACCGCGTCCAGCAGTGTCCCACTCTTCTCCTCCTCTTGAGTGACTTTATACAACTGAAACAAAGGCACAAATTGGTGAGTTAAGATTAAACATGGCACTGAAGTATATTTGTGGTATATAGTTCATAGATGTCAGTTCTTTGAAGAATGATCCTATCCCATTTTGGAATGAAGCTGACCAAATACAACTTATCACAAGTTATCATTACATAATATAAGTCACATTAAATTAAAGCGAGGATTGAATACCTTTTTGACTTTGGCGTGGTCTGTCAGTGAGGAAACTTCTTCCACTGGAACCTGCCGTCCGCTCACCCGGGCTGTGAGGTCTGCTAAAAGCTGGGACTCGTCTTCGTTGTGAATCAAGACCACCAGGACAGAGTCATCGCCATCAGAGCACCCAAACCTTTTGAACGCCTCTGAGATCTGTGTTAGGGAAGGCATACAAATATGATTCATTTCTGTTATGAGTTTATTCATGGTCATTACGATTGGTTTAGCAGATGAGATATGGACATGTATTTTTTTGTTGCAATTATCCTAATAGTTCAGATGTAATGTTAAGAAACAAAACTCTAAAAGGGTTTAAGACTTTATACTGTTTATGTAAAATAAGCATTTTCACATGGGAATGTTAATGATATAAACACAATGAGTAATGTTTAGTATACTTACATTATTAGTCGGTGATAGGTTGAATATTATTTCTGAGTATAAGCTTCTTGTCTTCATTTTCCCATTGTTCTGTGAGTTAACAGCCTTGTTGGCAGCTACGAGCACTTGGAAAGGATTTACCAGCTGTAAATAAAAACAGTGTGATGATGAATGAGGTGCCATAGTTTCCCCATTTGGTATAACATAGTTCTGTGTGGAAAGTATTGTAAGCTTATAAATACACTTAAGAACATGTCTATTGCACATACAAGTTGGATAAAATGTTGCAAAAGCTGAATGGAACATCTCACCATCGTTGGGTTGATCAGAGCACCGTTTATTTTCCCCTCCACCGCACACTGTCTCAACTCTGCCGCATTTTTTACCTCCTTGAAAAGCATTTGAGTCACTTTGTAGCCGGGAAAGAGCTCCAGTTCGTGTGTTAAATGCATGCTGGAAATTTGCTTCAGGAAATATAAAGAATTTACGATGTATCTCGCTTCACGATGTGAACGTGTGGTCTGAACACGCAGGGGAACAATAACATGGTGACACCGCTTAGAGAGAAAGGTTCCTCTTTAGAAATTAGGTCGACGAAAGCAAGACAACGATATTTTAAAGGAATTCCATCCAAAGGACATCATATATAATACAAGTAATAACTCTTACTACTATGTTTACCATGTTAGTGTGTTGCTAAAGTGTTTAGCTCAACTAGGAACTAAAAGCTATACAACAATTTTAGCACCCGAGCATATTTCTGGAGCGGACCGCCAGCTGTCAAAAATATTAACTCTTCCGTTTATCATACCTAGACGCATTTCAACCACTTCCCCTCTGAATTGAGATTGTAAAGCGGGGTTTAAAACGCAAATGTACTAGTTATGCGGAATACACAACACTGCTACAGCTAGCTTCGGACTGCATTCACTTTTACATCGGATTTCGTCATCAAACATGGAGACATTTGAAGGCTACATCTTCACTGCTCTCTGCAGCACCAACTTTCTGGTTTCCTGCCTGCTGTTCTCCAGAGTCACCCGGGAGCAGAGGGAGCCCTACATGGACGAGATATTTCATGTGCCACAAGCTCAGAAATACTGCCATGGCAAATTCAACGAGGTAAAAGTTTCCATTTGAGCGTCCCTCATTGTTGTTTAGCGGATTAAGGCTAGCTAACAGCAGTCGTTAGTCATTTAACATGAAGTGGCAGCTTGGTAAGCCTTTAATCTCCATGTCAGACATATAGAATGGCATTAGTGGGAACGGTGGTTTGCATGCAGGCTAGCTCCAGTAACTTCTTAATGCAGAAAAGTGGAGATTAAGGATCACCGTGGTTTTTTCTCCCATATGTTATTTCAAAATTCAAGTTATTTTACTACAAAACATGTCAACATTATATTACGGTTCAAAGCATCCCATAGTCTTTTCCCCAAAACTCAGTGATTTGGGTGAAATTATGAATGTATGCATAATTAGGGCCCCTTCATAATTTTCAAAAAATAAATTCACATTGACTGTGGTTGCATCAGCAAAGGACGAGATATGTGTACAGAGCTTTGCTTCCTGTTAAAGGTCAAGTATAATAAATCCTAAATCCTCCATTTACAATTACTAACTAAATAGTGCCTTTTTTTTTTACACTCTCCCTTCCTGGTAAACACCCCGTTTTTTCAAACTCTATGTCTCCAATTGTGCTGTGTAATGCTGAATTTCTGTACAGCCTTTTTCCAAACTAGATAACCTTGAATGCATCACTATGACATCACAGGGGTAATTTCCTACTTTTGAAAGACTCCAGATCCACTGAAGTCATCATACATTGTTTTCACAAATAGATGATTAAGACGTGTATCACTTATTTTCCTGACAATTAGTAAAGTGTTAACCCAACCCGAACATTGTTTTGATTGTTCTTCAGTGGAACCCCATGATCACGACCCTCCCAGGCCTCTACCTGGTCTCTGTGGGAGTCATTAAGCCGGTGGTGTGGCTCGCTGACCTCACAGGCCAGGTGGTGTGTTCCACGGCCATGCTGCGCTTCATCAACCTGCTCTTCAACTGTGGCATCCTTTACCTGCTCTACCTGCTCATCTGCAAACTGCACTCCCGGGAGAAGGTACACAGAAAGTGACGAAAACAAAGTGTGAGGGATTTTGTGTGTCTTGTTCTCTAACATTTCCTCTCTTCCAGACACGAACGACCTCCCGGCGAGTCCTCTCTGCGCTGTCTCTCTCCACCTTCCCCGTGCTCTACTTCTTCAACTTCCTCTACTACACGGACGCCGGATCTACTTTCTTCACCCTCTTCACCTACCTCATGACGCTGTACGGCTGCCACAAGGCCTCGGCGTTCCTCGGCTTCTGCTCCATTCTCTTCCGCCAGACCAACATCATCTGGGTGGCGTTCTGCGCTGGCACGTTGGTGGCCGCCAAAATGGACGAGGCCTGGAGGGTGGAGCATACGAAGAAGAAGGATGAGAAGTCTCCTCCGTCCCAGGTCCCGCTGTCATTCGGTGGGGCTAAGAAGGTGATGATGTTCACGCTGGAGTTCCTCACCTCGCCCGCTCACGTGAAGTCGGTGCTGCTGGTGGCCTGGCCGTACGCTGTGGTCGCCATGGGCTTCCTGGGGTTCGTGGTGTTTAACGATGGGATAGTGGTGGGTGACAGGACGAGCCATGAGGCCTGCTTCAACTTCCCCCAACTCTTCTACTTCTTCTCCTTCGCCCTCTTCTTCTCCCTCCCCGTGTCCCTTTGTTACCACCGGGCTCTCCGCTTCCTCCAGGCTCTGAAGAAGCAGCCTCTGTTCTTCCTCTTAGTCACGGGCGTCTCTTTGCTCCTGGTGTGGAAGTTCACCTCCGTCCACAAGTACCTGCTGGCAGATAACCGCCACTTCCCCTTCTACGTGTGGAAAAGGCTTTTCCAGAGGCACGAGCTGGTGCGCTTCCTTGTCGTTCCCGTATACGTGTTCGCAGGGTGGAATTTCCTGGACTCCTTCAAGTCGCGCTCACTCTTCTGGAGTCTGGCGTTCCTGGCGTGCCTCCTCGCTGCGACGGTCCCCCAGAAGCTGCTGGAGTTCAGGTACTTCATCGTCCCCTACCTGATGTACCGCCTGCACATGCCTCTGCCCTCTCTGCCCAGACTCATCGTGGAGTTTGTCCTTTACACGGCGGTCAACGCTGCCACACTTTACATCTTCATCAGTAAGACCTTCCACTGGCCGGACAGCACAGCCACACAGAGGTTCATGTGGTGAGCCAAAGACACTCAAACAGGATGTCTGGATCAATAGAATCTTTCCAGAGAACCACAGCATATGTGACATCTCAGAATTCAAGGGAAAGCTTCTGTTAAATCGCAGTTGCTAGTTTTTAATGTGACAACTGGCATCCAAAACGATCTGATCGGAGGGTTTTAGGGTCAAGTAATGCTGTGTTTTGTTTTCACTGATAAACCCTGAAGCATGGACTTTGAATCAGCGCACAACTACATTAAAATTCCCCTAAAAAGTATAGAAAGAGAACACTTTTTGTAAAGAGAATTACAATTTGTGGCTTTGACACACAATACAGTGGTGGTATCTGTGTTGTAAAATCTGTTCTAAATTATCTCGGCCCGACAATAATTGACTGTATTTCCACATGTTTTTCACAGTACCTACACAAATGTGGGTGGAAATGTTAATTCTTCTTCAGGGTGGAACAAAATGTATGTCACCTTGAGGATTCTGGGAAATAACGAGGCTGGGTGTGGCTTTTCTATGTCTATGAGTGTTTCTTACTCTAAATGTAAATACTGTATGCAGTTCTATGAATCAATCTTAGGTGTTACATGATCTGTAAATGTAAATAAAGAGACCAAAAATAATAGCCATATTGTAATGTTCAGAATTTATGAGTGGGATGTTGTTAGTAATGATTGAACTCTGATAGACTCACAAGACAATTGAAAATAATGATGGAACTAAATTGAAGAAATACATACATTTTTTTCTAATTAGATGTTTTTTTTCTATTTGACCAAGCCATAAGATCCACTGGAATTCAGATTAGTTTCTTTCTAATTTGTAGTTTGTCTGTTAACTGTGTTTTTCCTCTGAATGTTGGCTATTTTTACTGTTACTTTTTCTGTGTATATACATGAAATGAATCATGACCAATTAGCTATATGCTGCTCCCCTGTTAATACAATCTTGTTGATATCTTTGAATAAAATGACTCATGCAATATGTTTAATTCCAAGTTTATTAATGGAATTTGAATTAAATAAGAAAATCACGAATTCCAAAGTGCTAGCCCATAATCAGCCACTAGGGGGAGCTACAAGGCATATGGATATTCCTATTAACAGAGGAAGGAGACTGCTTATGAATTCAACAACAAAACCTCTAAATGCTGCTTTAAGTGCTGAGAAACACTGGAAAAAATAAATAAAATGCTAAATGGTCAGCGTGAGACCTTGTGGAGTTATTTTGTTTTTCATACTGTTCAAATGATCAGCCTCTTTCAACGCTATCCTATGTCAATGCTTTGAATAAACATTTTAAAATCAAAGAATCAAAGAATGAACTTGGATTTGAAAAGCCGGATCTGACGTTTTACTGTATTTAATGATTTGTATAGAAAGGACAGTTCATTTCTCTGTTCTCTGTGATCTAGAAAAGACTACTTGGTAAACCCAAAAGAAAACAATTAGCACATGTATTGCTCTCAACCCATATGAATTTAATTCCAATTACATGGAGCGACGTGGGGCCAGCTCGTAGAGAAGATTTTAATGAAGTCAAACTGAGATGTAGATTACAACATGCAGCCACTGGTATGAAAGAGATACCGTACAGTGTGTGCCATGTCCAGGGTTGGTATTGCTTTGATTATATGGGATTAAGTTCATTTTTTGGTATTTTGTCTATTGCTAAACCTCCCTGACGCATATTTTCATTGATTTTTATTTAATTCTGAAAAAAGTACAGATGAGTCTTTTATTACTTGGCATTTAAAAAAAAATGACAGCTAGAAAGCGTTGCTAACATGATCTTTTTCTGTCGTGTCTTTTTTGCCATAGAACATTTATGGATTTTGAGAAAAACTGTTGAAATGATGTGTCTTCCTACTGTTACCAAGGTTACAAATTGACCCCGATTGATCCTTTAGATAAGGCTTAAATTCCAAAACAAGGATTATTTTTGAGGACTTAAAAAACGTATTAGAGAAGTACACAATCATACTCAAACTGGAATAACCTAAATTAGTAATAATGTTACAGTTTTATATAATTGTTATACTTTCTGACTTGCCCAATATATCTTAAATGAATTGTGTGCAAATATAACAGTTTTGTCAGCCATAAACTTCCATACAATAGTGAAATTGAAAGTATATTCATCTTATTTTTTGAAATATAGAGCCACATGTTTCTGTTTCTTGATCTTTTTTCTCCTCAACACTGTCTCCCGGTATGCACACACACATATGCAAACTCTTTCTCCCAGACTTTACCTTGTGGCAGCAACAGAGGCTCTGGGAAATTCATTAAAAGAAAACTTTAAAAAATATATTTTCTGGACCCAATGTGAGGAAAATT